CGGTGTTTTAAACAAGAAAAATCCAGATCCCAATGCAGGTTCTCCATATTAACAAGGGTCTTAGGGAAGTCACAACCACTATGGGATTGTGTGTTTCTCATTTTAAAAATGAGGGAGCTTAACCAGGCAAAAGCCCAAATCTGTTACCCTTCATTTTTGTTACCAAAGAACGGGAGAAACAATGTTGTAAAAAGGAAAATCATTCTCTCTTTAAAAAAAAAAAAGCTGGTGTTTTCAAGGAGGTATCACACACATTTTCAGCATTTTTTGTTTTATTTTTGTTTTAAATTCACCAGGAAAAGAAATATTTGTGCGTGTGAATAGCTTAGAAAGGATTTTTAAAGTAAGACTAAAATTTCTATTATGCATTACCAACACACAATATGAAAACTACAGCAAATAGCTGGCTGAATTTCTAACAAAATACTGCAGTCTAAAAAGTCAGGATTCAAAGAAGAAAGGAGTGAGTTTATTCTAACTGGTAGTTACACAGCATTCTTTATTCTTTTTTCACAACCATGATAATAAGTAACCCCTCACTAGCTGACAATACCATACTCCCAGTGAGGAGTTACATACACAAAGTTACAGAAGAAAAGGGAAAAATGTTATTAGTTTCTAGGGCTAAAGATAGATAAAACAAGCACCAAACATTTCTATCTTTCTAAGGGAAGATGTGTGAAAATGAGACATGAATTAGCAGAGTGAGAAACATTGCAGTTTCTTAATAAATGTTATAGCTTGATAAAACTTACTACATATTTACATAAAAGAAAGGACCTAAACAGAAAATTTTTGAACTAAACTATAGCATTGCTCCATTACCTCAGCCAACTGTCAAGACTCTGAAATCTGTGTTTCAAGGATCTTTTCATTATGAAGGTTAGAGAGACTGCTTCCTTCACAGTTAAGCCTATGGCATCATACAATAAAATATACAGGCAAGAATAATACTATCACCAACATCTTACATTCAGATGAGAGTCAGAGCACTAATGAGCCCTTGAAATAGTATGAAAAATTTTATGCGTATGCATATTTTGGGAATGACAGGGGACAACACTTTTATCAGATTCTCAAAGGTATGTGTGACCTAAAAAGTTCCAAGGACCACTTTGCAAAGCAACATCACATGCATCATTTAACTTAATGTCACAATTCCGATTTTCCCATGAGGGTCTTTTTTACAGACTACACCAAACATTCTAAGAAAGATAAAATTTGCCCCCAAGGAGAAAAAAAATGATTTGGGGGGTGTGAAAAAAATCTTATAATAGTTTGTGGCCCTTACAGTACAAAAAGAGATATACAGTATATCAACGGTATTAAAATTTAACGGGAGTGGGGGTGGGTAAAAAGGGGGAAAAATGTCTAAATCGGCTCCTTTGGGGAGGCAATAATGAAAGAACAGTTGAGAAACTCTGGTCTACACTAAGAAAACACAGAGCAACCAAGTGATAACTACAGAGTTACAGTGTAGAGTAACATGCAGGGTATGATTACCAGTCACAGAAGCAGAGCATAGCCTGTTTTTCTTTGCTCCTCACACAGCAAACTGCTCTACATACTATGGACTCTAAAAACAAGTTAATGAACAAACCAGTCCACTTGTTGAAAAAGCCTCTGAAATTTCAACATTTCTATTCTTACTACATTATTATTCCACAACACTTTGGCATATTTAATAACAACAACAAAATTGTACAGTAATGAAAGACCACAACTTTAACAATTAAAATACTTACTTTCTTCCTGCATCCGAGCTAGAATCTGCACATCAGTTACATCATTTAGCTTATAATTGGATCCAATTGAATCTTCATCTAATTCTGAAGCACTTAATTCACTGTCTATAGAGGATTGAGGACTGAGTGGAGGATTTCTGTCTGATGAACTTTTCAAATTACCTTAAAAAAGAAAATGATTCAAACTTCAGTGAAACAAAAATTGAATAAACATCTGTTGCAATTAACTTGATATTATATCTTTGGATTCAGTTCATTGCTATTCTGCCTTTTCTGTTTATAAAATTCCCAAATGTTAAAATTAAAAATTGACCTGATTAAGTATAAAGAGGGCTACAGAGACTCCTTCATATATAATGACAAATACAAAACACATTTTCTTATAGCTATAACTTATCTATATTCTTATGAAACAATTAAGTTTTCAAAACAGTACCTGGCAAGTAATTAATGTTCAATAATACATGCTATAGGATTTCAACTTTTACAAGGTAGCCAATGAAACTACTCTATAAATAGATGAATTTAAGATGTGTTTTCTCCTCCCAAATTCAGTCACTAGCAAATACCACCATCTTTTCCCTTGAATAAAGCACCCACTTTTCCTAAACAAGAAAGCTATAATTTGAGGAAAATCAGGACTCCTTAGAGATTTAGGAACAAACAAAAAAAGAACACTAAGCTCATTTCTCCTACATTATGCCATGTTTACAAAATTCCTTTGCTAAACTAGTAATGGGGATCCAAGGAGTTCTCTGAAGTTTACTAGTGAAGCACAAAGATGGGATGAAGAAAATGACTGGATGAAAAAACTCATTTTATCACTTTAAACCAAAAGGGGGATAGAAGACAGGTCAGAGGAATAAAGGATATACATATCCAAAAGACTCTAATTTGTTTCTAAGGAAATGTTTTCATCAGATCAACTTCTAATGAAGAATTTAAAAAATCCCAACACTGTCACTAATATTTCTAATACAGATTTATTTGAAACTTGTTTTCCAGAATTCTTCACCATAAGAGTCAGCTCCAACACGAATGGCACATAAAAAGAGCAAGAAGAATACGAAACAGTTTATGCTGTCAAGAAGAGCATAGTGCACATGATCGGAAAAGTACTATAAGGTCAGTCTCAAATAGTGCCTGAATAAAATTCTCTATATTAAACAAATACAACCTTTTTAGTACAACAGTCACGGGTGAAATAAGTAGCAAGTAACAACCTACGTACAGAACAAACTGCAGGGTCAATAAGTGATGAGACTAGGGAGTATACAAGTCAAAAGTTTGAGGTGGTTAATAATACTTTAATTTTTAAGGAAGCTATGATAATTAATCATACCAATAGCAGTAATAAGAGTAACTGAATGGTGAAATCTAAAGAACAGTAAGCTACAGAATAACAGTCTCAGTCACAGAACCACAGCAGAACATTCTTCCCCCAATTATAGCAATCTATCCCTCTCCCATATCATTTACAGCTCTAAACACCCTCTTGGCACATTCATACACAGCCTTGTACTATTATTTAACTACAATATCAAAGCTTATTAAAACTCCTATTAGAAGAGTTTAACTCTGTAGCTTTTACAACCTAAGCAAGCTACTCAGTAAGCATCTATTGGTTAAAAAAATAAAGCCTGTGACACCATTTTATCAAGCCACATTAAAAAACTTTTACACACATGCTAAAGAAAACTTCATGAATGTAACTTGGCTTATCTGTATCACTGGTGCCTAGTACCATACTACCGGTGCTAAGTAGCACCTCAATGATATATTCTCTAACCAGTTGGAGGTTTCATAAATAAAGGAACTTGAACTACTGATGAGTAAGTTATTTTCTGAGGCAGGGCAGTAAGTTAAAAACCATTTCTTAATTACTCCATTTCATTTCTCCTTACCTGAATTTCCAGGAAGTATTAGCTGTTTGACTATAGGAGGTCGCACTGGGGTTGAGGACGGAGAATTGAAACCACTGCTGTATGGGCTACTGGCATTTGGACTGTAAGGACTTGTGTAACTGATGGAGTTGAAAGGATTATTATACAAATTCTGCCTCTTGAGAGCTGCATTAATGACAAGGGGAAAAATCAAATTGAAGAAAAGGCTAATAACATCGCAAAAATTTTCCTATTGGGGGACTTCCCTGGTGGCGGAGCGGTTAAGAATCCGCCTGCCAATGCAGGGGACAAGGGTTTGAGCCGTGGTCCGGGAAGATCCCACATGCTGCGGAGCAACCAAGCCACAACTACTGAGCCTGTGCTCTAGAGCCTGCGAGCCACAACTACTGAGCCCATGTGCCACAACTACTGAAGCCCATGCACCTAGAGTCCATGCTCTGCAACAAGAGAAGCCACTGCAATGAGAAGCCCGCGCACCGCAATGAAGAGAAGGCCCCACTCGCTCCAACTAGAGAAAGCCCGCACGCAGCAACGAAGACCTAACGCAGCCAAAAATAAAAAATATAAATAAAAATAAATTTATTAAAAAAAATTTTCCAATTAGGAAATTCAGTAAGTCATTATCTCAGTTTAAACACAGAAACATTTCTATAGTAGTGGAGAGAAACATATCACATTAATAATCCCAACAAAATATTTCCACTATCTTAAATTTTGTTATGCAAATAAAACAGGAGCCACACCAAACAGAAATAATACTATAGGAAGAATATCTCCTCAACAAATTATTAGCTACTAAATTAAGTTACTTCTATCTTGTTGGAAAGTTTATTCCAACTGTGTCAACCTTGAATGGCCTTTAAAAATAAAATGAATATAAAAGCATATTTGTGTTGACTCATTTTTCTATAACAAACACATACTGCTAATAACAACAAAAAACTATGAAATAATGAGTTTTAAAAAGAGTCTTTCCAAAGTTTGGATTTTTGAAAAAATAAAGCAATACTGACTATTTAGGCCAGATTAAGGTCAAACATACAAGAATTCTTTTTTTAAAAAAGAACCCCCCCCGCCCCATTTTCTGGGCCAAGGAGAATACTTCTGCCAAAAAAGGGGAAAAATTTGTGCTATGCATATAAAATTATAAAAATAGTATGAAAGTAGGGCTAAGATATCAATTATATACAAGAAAAGTTAATACTTAAAATATTTTTTTTCTTCACCCTATTCTAAAATCTACAGCTTATTCATATTTATGACCATCACCAAAGTACTATGCAGAATAAACACACAAATGTGACATGGTACTTCTTCTCAAGAGGCCTAAAGCCAAGTAGTGCAGGCAGAAAAAACAGTGATTTCAAGGCAAAATGAAATGAGTACTATCATAAAGGCGCAAAGAGGCTAATGGAAATGATGAGATAGGAGTAATTCATTACAACTGAGAGAAAGTAGGTAGTAAGGCTTTTTGGAAGGAGAGACACTGGAGCAGTCTTGAGAGGATAATTTGGTAGGACACTGGAAGTGGGGAAAGTATATGTTTTCATCTGTGTTTATAATATAAACTAAAACCATGTCTTGAAAATGCATAGTGTGTCCAGGGAATAACAGTGAGTAATCTAGAAAGGTAAAGTTCATGGTGAGGGACAAAACAGGAACAACCAGCTGGGGCCAGGTCACAGGAGGCCTGGAATACTATGCTCAGGAGTCTGAAATTTGTTCAGTAGCAGTGATAACACCATCAGGGACTTCTGAGCAAGAGTAATATGATCCAGTCAGCTTAAAGAAAAAAAACGGATGGAAATTCTAATGTTAAATAGATTAGACTGAACTAGGCAATAAAAGTGGCCAAAACAAAAAAAGGAAGAAAAGGATAAATATTAAAAACCGGGGCTTCCCTGGTGGCACAGTGGTTGGGAGTCCACCTGCCGATGCAGGGGACATGGGTTCGTGCCCCGGTCCGGGAAGATCCCACATGCCGCGGAGCGGCTGGACCCGTGAGCCATGGCCGCTGAGCCTGCATGTCCGGAGCCTGTGCTCCGCAACGGGAGAGGCCACAACAGTGAGAGGCCTGCTTACTGCAAAAAAAACCCAAACAAACAAACAAACAAACAAAAAAACCCAGTAAGGATTACTAAAGGGAAAAAACAATAAGATGTTGCTGAAGTTTCTGGTTTGCCTATAAGCAGAGCACTGGTTTTGGGAGGAGGAACACATGTTTTCTGTTTAGTTGGATAGTGTGGTAAGTTGGTCAGTATAGTTTTCTACATATTTTTCTACATATTCACCATGAGACAAGACACCACGAAACATATTTAGCATGTAGCATGATCTCAATATATCAACCTGAGCAGAAATAGGGGTGTTTACTCCTTCCTATCTCTTTACTCTTCTATTTCCTTTGAAGCGCAGTCTCTCTTTATTTGGTTATTTTAATCACTAGCTTTTCAAGTTCTCAACTCTTTTATCTTCTTACTCTAAACCATATTCTTTTTCTTGAGAAATCTCATTCATACTCACAACATTAGTTATTATCTCTATTCCCCCAAATATCCATTATTTATATCTCCAGGCCTAAGTTTCCATGAGCTTCAGTCCCATATATGCTGCCCATTTAATGTCTCCCCTGAGGGTATGGCATATGCACCCCAGAGCCAACAAATCCAAATCCAAACTCATTATTTTAGAGCTAAAACAAATTCTCTTCCTGGGGTCTCTATGTCAGAATGATAACAACATTCATCCTATTACACAAGCTGGAAACCTAGAAATCACTGCTGATACTTTCTTCTCCCTCATTTCCTCATATTTGGTTCATTCCTTTTTCCTTTCACACCTTTTCATCTCCACTACGACCCTTTCCCCCCAACACACACTACCCAGCTATCATCATCAACCCTCCTCAAAAGGATCCTACGGTTCACTTTTGGCCCTCTCCAATCTACTCTCCATACTACAGCTAAGCATGTCCTCATCAACGTGCAAATCCTATCATTTCTTCTTCCTGCCAACACATACCATACCCTTGAATAAAACCCTTCAGTACCTTCCCATTGCTTTTAGAATATTAGAATAAAGTCCAAAACCTTTAACATGGTCTCTAAGGCCTTGCAGAGTCTGGCTCCTACATATTGTTCTGACCTCATGTCCAGTTCCTCATGTACACCAGGCTCCCTCCCATATGCTCCCAAAGGCCTCCCACAGATCCTTTGCACACGCTGTTCTCACCACCTGGAACACTCTACTCCCTCTGTCGCCCTCCCCTTTAGCCCACTTAAATTTTCCTGAATCTTTAGGACTCAGGCCAAACATTACTTCCTGAAGTAAAATTCTAATTTCTCCAAGCTCAAAGCACTGTAGATCATTCTTTTATTACATATCACCAGTTATAAAAATTATTTTATTAACATGTTCCCCCTACCAGATGACAAACTCCGTGAGTGCAGTGTTAGTCTTTCTTCATCATGTATCCACTACCCTTTCCCCAACGCCTGATACATAACAGGCTCTCAAAAAATACTGAATATATGCATAAATAAAGGAGATTAGTTTGAATAAAGATGATACTGGATATAGTATGAATGGATGAAATCATCAAAACAGAGAGAAATGGGGCAAAAGAGAGACCTGGGAAGATGGGGCGGGGGTGGGGGGAAGGCAGGAGGAATGGGAAGTTTAATGGGTACAGAATTTTAGTATGGGATAACAAAAAAGTTCTGGAGATAGACAGTGGTGATGGCAATGTGAATGTACTTAATGTCACTGAACTGTATATTTTAAAATGGTGAAAGTGGGAAATTTGTGCTATATTAATATTACCCCCCGCCCCACAAAACACACACAAAAAGATGGGCAGAGAAGGGAGAAACTTTAAAGAAGACTGAAAAGAAAACCGGAGGGAGAATAAGGGTAAAAAAGGTAAATGTGCTATCAAAAAAACAAGAGAAGAATATCTTAGCAACACGTGCTGGTACACTAAGGAGAAGCTGAGTATAATGGAGTAGAAATGGCTGTGCTAGAATATAATAGCTAAGTTCCTAGAAAGCTTTGCCTTATCAAAAAAATACATTTAAAAAACAATCTTCCCTTTAACTTGGGAAAAGAGAGGTTTAGGACTACAAGGTTCAAACTTGCAACAGCCAAATTATTTTTCTTTAAATATATACAGCTATAGCTATTGCTCTGTGCATACAGCTATAAAATCCAAACACTGTTAAGCAGATCCAGTACTTGATTACACCTAGTTTTGGTTCAAGAGTAACAGCTTTTCTTACATGCTCCTACTATCTTTAATGCCTTTGTTATAATAAAGCAAAAAGCTACTCACTCCAATTGCTACTTTTGAAGTACAACAGCTTTGGTTTTCTCCCCTATGTCCATCCCATACATTACTTTCTTATAATAACCACTGCTCCTGCCAAACAAACTACACTTTACTATATGACAGTTTAACTGTGTAGGCTCCCCACTGCTTCCCCTGACCATTTGCAGCTTACACTCTAAAAAAGAGCACGTACCTCAATAATAAAACCAAAAAAAAAGCAATTTTAAGGACATGGCTGCCAAGTAAACACAAAGCAAAAAACAAAACTCTATTTAGGATTAGTAATCATGCATCAAACTTTTACTACATGAGTATTCCAGGAAACTGATATTCTTTTTTTTTTGGCCTCGCTGTGAGGCTTGCAGGATCTTAGTTCCCTGACCAGGGACTGAACCAGGGGCCCAGCACTGAAAGCGTTGAGTACTATCCACCGGACCCCCAGGGAATTCCCAGAAACTTCTTTTTTTTAATTAAAAAAAATTTTTTTGAAACATATTTTTAAAAGATTGAGAGTAATTCCAAGAAAGAGTCAATAATATTTTTCCTACATTTCTAACACACTGGCATGCTACATTAAATGCCATAAAGAGTGACACATACATTTTGTCAGCTTTGTGAATGCTATTAAACAATAGAACATAAAAGCAGTTTAACTTAAAATGCCAAGTTAAAAAAAAAAAACAAGAGGGGAAATGAATACATTTACTAAGCACTACCATAAGCCAGAAAAACATGCTAGGCTCTTTCAACATTATCATTTAATCCTTAAATAACACTTACAGGGCTCATCATGCTTATAAGAAAACTGAGCTTATAGTAGTTAAATAATTCGCAGAGTCACATAGCAACTAAGTGACAGAGTGAGAATGAGGGCTCTTTGGTTCTCAACCTGTATCTTTCTACCACATCAGAATTTCCCTGAGGCTGGTGAGATGATTTCAGATGATATCAGACAAAACATTTTTTAAAATAATTATTTATTTTAGCTTTCATCAGAAAAAACCTTACTACATAAAATCCATTATTTCATGGATATTTTTTAGGATGAAGCTAAATAAAAATATGGAGATTTTTTTAAAAGCTATTAAGAAAATAACAGAACAGGGTTATGTGCATATGGCAAAAACTCACGATGGCATGCACAATGTGATTTGGAAAACACCCCCCAAGCAAAGAACTGCCTTCCTAAAAACATACCAGTCAACATTTATCTGTTTTTTGATTAAAGAAAGCAAAGAGATGAATTTACAAGTAAAATTATAGACATACCTGACATAGTTTGATCAAGTTTGTGGATAAGAGACTTTTTAGCACATTCAACATCAGGACTTGGGTAATCCAAAACTTGCCTGCACCAAACTAAAGGACTAACTGATTTCTGCATTGGTGTAAGTTTTTTCTTTGGTGATGAATACAGCCTAGAAGAAAACAAAAAACAAAAACAAAAAAGGGTAACGTTAATTATTAAGCACAAGGTTATAAAAAAGGGATCCTTTGGAACAGATTTAAATTGGGGGATGGGGAGTAAAAATGATGGAGTATGTTTAAAATCACCCACATTTACTTTCTGCACAGGAAGAAAATGACACTACAATCATCAATATAAGCCCAAATCTCAACTATTAAATGAACCCAAATGAGGCCAACTGTCCAGTCCTAAAATGTGTCTTATTTTTCTCTTTTACTCTCATTTCAAAAACTATGAAGAAACATGTCTTTACAATATTTTATTCTGTTTTCAATCGTTCTTAACTCCCTAATATAACCATATCATTAAGTCCTGTCTAGAAGGCAGATAAATACCTTGCTTTCCAACTCCCAGTTCCCTTCCTACCACAAACCACACATTCACCATTAGTAATGCATTCCTTTTACTTAAGCAGTACCCACTCTGTAGCCCTTTTTTCAAATGATACGTCAGAGAAAAGCAATACATTAAAAAAATCCTTAATAACAATATGAATCAATTTATGAAATTACTTCAGTTTCAGTAAAGAAAGGAAAAGTATTTTATAAGCTCCTGGGGAAGGTATATAAAAACAAAAAGGTGAGAAGATACTTCCTACTTCATTTGTTTTTCCTCAGATTAGTTCAGATTACATCAATTGATGTTAATTTATTTCAAATGTGACTCTATATGAAAAATGTGAAGTTACTTGAATTCTAACCAGAGTGGTTTCCAAATTAAGACACTTAAGTGAAATCTATGATGTAAACAAAATTACTACACTTCCAGATGGATGGGATGTAAAATCAGCTCCTTTATTGCACCTGACTAACTCATGGAGGATGGGGAAAAGGGAGAAAAAGTGCCCCATCTGACATTGCCTCCTCCTGTCTTGATGCTGCATAGAGGTGGAGGTTCAGCTCTCCCACTGGGCCTCTATGACTTAATTTTTGCAGAAATAGGGGAATAAAGCAATATTTTTCAAGTTTTCTTGACAAGTAAAAACTTGACAATCTCAACTTATAAGTTACATTAGCCATCAATAAACTGGCTGTGTCCATCAGAAAACAGTCCCTCTTGACTGAACTGTATATTATTATTTAAGAAATTCAAAAGCATCAGTGAAAAAAATTGTTTTTAGTAGGCAAATTGATGAGGGTAGGAAATAAAAAAAGATGGAAGAACACAAAATTACTCTTAAATTTTTAGCTGTTGTAACTGAAAGAATTATAGTGCCATTGACAAAAACAGGAAAGCTACCATTCACCTGGTATAGGCGAGATTATGATGTTTTAAACTGATTTTGAATTACTGATGTTTTATTCATTTAGTTTATAGTAGTTTCTGTATTTTTAAAGATGTTAAAAGTACCTTACAACTTTTTTTAAAAACAGCCTTTTCAAGATGTAATTTACATACCATAAAATTTGCCTGTGTAATTTCTGCACCATAAAATTCATTGTATAATTTGATGAATTTAGTATTTAGTTACCTGAACCATCACCACCATGTAATTTTAGAACATTTTTATCACCCTAAAAAGAAACCCCCTTTCCGTTTCTACCTCCAGCCCTAGGCAATAACAAATCTGCTTTCTGCTCCATGTTCTTTTCTAGACATTTCATATAAACAGAATCATACAATATGTGTGTTGTGTGTCCGGCTTCTTTCACATGAATTGCCAAAGTCTGAAAGAAAGAGTGATACACACTACTATATATAACTAATAAGGACCTACTGTATAGCACAGACTATAGTAGAGACAATGTTTTGTAATGGCATTTATGGGAAAAGAATATAAATGGACATACATGTATGTATAAGTGATTCACTTTGCTGTACACCTGAAACACAGTACTGTAAATCAACTATACTCCAATTAAAAAAAACAAAACAAAAAACCAAAAAGCCCAACACTTCCTAAAAGTTCTCAACACAAGGAAAACAATAATTTTCTTCTTCCCCCCCGCTCTTTTGTATCTGTATGAGATGATGAATGTTAACTAAACTTATTGTGGTAATCATCTTGCAAAATACGTAAGTCATGTCATTATGCTGTACACCTTAAACTTATACAGTACTGTATCTCAATTATATCTCAATAAAACTAAAAAAAAAGGAGTAAGCACTGCTACAAACACTACCAATATTAAAAGAATTGTAAGGAATATTCTGAACAACTTTACGCCAACAAAACAGACTGGAAGACTGGATAGACAAATTCCTAGAAAGATACAAGTTATCAAATGGGACTCAAGAAGAAATAGAGACTCTGAAGAGATTTATAAAAATAAATTGAATTAGTAATGAGAAATCTTCCTGCAAAGAAAAGCCCAGGCCCAGATGCCTTCACTTATTAATTTTATCAATACTAAGGAAAAGTAATGCCAATCCTATACAAACTCTTTCAGAAAATAGATCTAATGGTAAAAGACTGAATGCTTCTCCTAAGACTGGGAACAAAGTTAAGGATGCACACTATCAACATCTCTATTCAATGTGGTACTACAGTGTCTAGCCAGTGCAGAAAGGCAAGAACAAGAAATTAAGGCATCCATGTGGGAAAGAAAAAAGTAAAATTGTCTTTATTCACAGACAGTATGATCTTGTACACAGAAAATCCTTTGTAGGAATCTACTGAAAGCAAACAAAATCAACTAGACTTAATTAATGTGTTTAGCAAGGTCACAGGATATGAGATCAACAGGCCAAAAACAAAATTAATTTATTTCTATATATCAATGAACAACTCAAATATGAAATAAATGTAACAATTCCATTCACAACAGCATCAAAAAGAATACTTAGGAATAAATTTAACAAATGAAGTGCAAGAGTTGTACACCGAAAACAATAAAACATTGCTGTGAGAAATGAAAGACGACTTAAATAAATGGAGAGATGTACCATGTTCCTAGATCTGAAGACTCAATGTTGTCAAGATGTCAATTCTTCCAAACTGATCAACAGAATACAACCCCTACAAAAATGTCAGCAGGCATTTTTATAGAAATGGACAACCTAATTCTAAAAGTTACATGAAAATGTAAAGCCAAAGAATGGCCAGAAGAATTCTGAAAATGAACAATCTTTTTAAAATTTTAAAATCTCTGGTCTTGCTCCCTTCCAATCCATTCTATATATTGCAGCCAAATTGTTTTCTGAAATATGAATCTGACTATTAATATTCCTCTGCTAAAAATTCTATGCCAGTTTCCTTTTGCCCTTATGATAGTTTTTTCCAAAACACAGCCCCCATGGCCCTTGAAACACAGCAATGATCTAACTGTTGCAGCACCTTTTTTTTTTTTAGCTACATTTCTCACCCTTCTCCATCACTCAAATCTAAATAATAGCCATATGGTACTAATTTCTACTCCTGAAAAGCCCAACACTTTTGCTTCTAGGTCATTTTATGCATGCTGTTCCCCTTGCCTTAAACAAACTCAATTCCACTTCTTGGTTACCTCACCCTCCCTTGCCCAACTTCGGCCAGCCCATTCGTACTTTCTACGAAGTCTCAACTTAAATGTCCCTTCTTCAAGGAAACCTTCCTTAAGTACCTGTCATAAGACTATATTAGGGGCTTCCCTGGTGGCGCATTGGTTAAGAATCCACCTGCCAATGCAGGGGACACGGGTTTGAGCCCTGGTCCGGGAAGATCCCACATGCTGCGGAGCAACTAAGCCCGTGCACAACTACTGAGCCCTCGTGCCACAACTACTGAAGCCCGAGAGCCTAGAGCCCATGCTCCGCAACAAGAGAAGCCACTGCAATAAGAAGCATGTGCACCAACACAAAGAGTAGCCCCCGCTTGCCGCAACTAGAGAAAGCCTGCGCTCAGCAACAAAGAACCAATGCAGCCAAAAATAAATAAATAAATATTTAAAAATGTGTTAGGGGCAATAAAAATGCTACAATATGGATAAACCACAAAAACATTAAACTAAGTAAAAGAAGTCAGCCACAAAAGACCACATACTGCATGATACCATTCATATGGAATGTCTAGAATAGGCAAATCTATGAGACAAAATAGATTGGTGGTTGCCTAGGGATGGGAGAGGGGATGGGGGAGAGAAATGGGAAATGACTGCTAATGGGTATAAAGACCCTTTCTGGGATACTGAAAATATTCTAAACCAAGATTATGGTCATGGTTGTACTATTCTGTAAATATACTAGAAATCACTCAATACTAAAAACGGGTGAATTTTATAGTATGTAAATTCTATCTTAATAAAGCTGTTAAAAAATATGTTAGAAATAATTGGTCTCTCAAGATGTTGCTTTTTCCCTTAGGACAATTATTACAAAGGAATTAAACACCATTAAATATAATTTATGTCTATTGTTAATAGTGAGAGAACTAGTAAAGATGTAATTAAGAATATGAATGTTATAAAACATCATAACAAATCATATTTTGTCTGATATGTCACACATACCTGTATAATATGACTGGTGATAAAAACAACTAAGAATATAACTATTTTGTAAAAGTAACAACTTTAGGGACTTCCCTGGTGGCGCAGTGGTTAAGAATCTGCCTGCCAATGTAGGGGACACAGGTTTGATCCCTGGTCCAGGAGGATTCCACATGCTGTGGAGCAACTAAGCTCGTGCGCCACAACTACTGAGCGTGTGCTCTAGAGCCTGAGCCACAGCTACTGAACCTGTGTGCCGCAGCTACTGAGCTCGTGTGCCTAGAGCCCATGCTCAGCAACAAGAGAAGCCACCGCAATGAGAAATGAGAAGCCCGTGCACCGCAACGAAGAGTAGCCTCCGCTCACAACTAGAGAAAGCCCACGCGCAGCACTGAGGACCCAACGCAGCCAAAAATTAAAAAACAAAACAAAACAAAAAAAACTTTAGTAATATAGAAATGTACAAATGTAAGGAGTGATAATAACCTCCCTCCCCTACCAATTCTATCCTCCCAAGTTATTTACAGTTTGCAGTATGTCTCTT